TTAAAAATGTTTTAGTAAGCCATGAAATTCCTTCATCTCCTAGCCATTTTCAACACCTCTATGAGAATATCATCAGGTCCAAACAGCTTTTCCACCTTCATTTTCTTTTAAAGCCTCTCTAACTTCGTTTTACTAATCACGCGATAAAAACAAAATCTTTATTTTCATTTAGGGTAAGGTCAATATAGTCAATCTTATTTTCACAATTCTTATTAAAAAGTTTGCAAATATCTCATCCACCTTTGTTGAATATCATCTTCTAAGAAGTATTTTTGAGGTTAATTTTACATTTTAAGGAGTGTAACATTATGTAATTTGCTTCAAGGAAGTCTATTTTTCACTTTATGGTGACTCATTACGAGTGACGTCTTAACAAAATCTGCTCACCACAATCATAGATTTTTTGGAGAAATGCTCTACCAAACTGAATCAACTTTTGATTAATGTAATGAATTTTGACATAATTTTAGAGTGCAATCAACTTAAATCAACCATCATTTCTTTGCCATGACCTATTAAAACCATTAAAAATTCAAACAATAACAACATTTACTGAAAGAGAAGGTTCCTACCACTCATACAGTCAATCACTACTTTCTATTTCAAATAGTAGCAAATCTTTGGCATAATGATGGTTCATGAGTTTTCATGTCACTGTCGTTTCTTAAGCAAGAGTTTCTATTTTTCTATTAATTTCAGCTTCATTACCAAATTACATTTTTTTTAAATTTGCTAAGATAAACAATTATTTGATATTTCTTCCAAGACAGTCAAAATAAATGTTAAAAGAATTACATAGCATTTATTATATTAATAAAAGCTCCATGATTTTACGAAACCATCCAACATTATGAATTTCACTCAAACACTATCTACAGAACAATAATGTAGTAATATTCAAGAGAATCGCCAAAGAATGGAAAAAATTACAAGGAAAATTTCAAAAATGCCTTTGAACATCACAAGATGGGACATTGTTAGCAACTATTTAGCAGTTGTATAAAATTTTAAGAAACCTTAGGAATTATAAGAAAAAACAATCAAGCTTAATGGCTTTTGCTTGTTCATCTACCCTATCGTCATATACAAAGCTTGGGCATTACATGAAATATGATTATCTTTATCTGTGTATTGAAAAGGAACTTACGGTAAAAGCTTATTCTTATTGTTGCTTTATAGCTCAATTTTGCTTAGTAATTTGAATTTTTATATGAAACAAAAGCATTTGTTTATATTATCAACCAAGATGCACCAAATGGAGAGTATGATGTATGTTTAGGGGCATTGTAATGATATCTACAGCAATACTAAGGTGCATAACATTAAAAACATTAAAGGGATTAATAGTAGTATGATACACATAAACTACCAAATTTCAACTAAACATGCTTTGATGGTTTTAGTCAAATCTTAGTGCTCATAAATTTGGATGTATAAATATTTGCTCATTATAATGAAAAATCTATAACAACAACAACAACAACAAGCCTTTATCCTACACGTGGGGTCAACTCAATGACTTTTTTCTCCATTGTGTCCTATTAAAGGTCAAATTCTCGTTTAAATCTAATACAGAAAGGTCATTCCTAATATTTTCTAACCAAGTCTTTTTTAGGTCTGCCTCTACTTTCTTAACATAAGTCAAATTTAATACCTCTACTCTCTAACCGGGTCCTTGAAAGGCGTCATTTTTTGTGACCAAACCATCTAAGGCGACTCTCCTAATCTTATCTTCTACTGGAGCTACTCCAACCTTTTCACGTATATGCTCATTTCGTATCTACTCTAAGAGTAAAGCACTCATCCACCTGAGCATCCTCATCTCTGCCACACTTAACTTAGTATTATGCTTCTCTTTTAATGGCCAACATTCAGCACTATAAAACATTGCAGACCTCACTACCATCTTATAGAATTTTCCCTTAAGTTGAGGGTACTTTCTATCACACACAGCCCCATGCATTCCTCCACTTCAACCATCCAACTTGAATTTTGCTGATAATATCCATCTATTTCACCACACTCTGACAATAGATCCAAGATATCTAAACGTGTACTCTTATTAATGACTTGATCGCCTACAAGTCATAATCCCCTCACTAGGTCTATACTACTAAAATTACACTCCATATATTCGTTTAGATCTACTCAAGTGAAAACCTTAGTCTCTAATGTTGACCTCCATAATTCAAGTTTACTTTCAACTCCTCTCTAGTCTTATCAACAAGAAGAATATTCATCACAAAAGCATACACCAAGGTACATCCTCTTGCAATATCTAGTGAGAAATCCATGACTAAAGCAAAAATATTTGGGCTTAAGGTTGATCCTTGATGTAACCCAACTGAAATAGGGAATACTTGGTCAACCACCTTGTGTTTGACACAAGTAATAGCTCCTGCATACATATCTTTAATGTTGAATATAAGCATTATTAATCCTTTCTTTTGAAAAATTCTCCATAGCACTTCTCTTGAAACTTTATCATATGCTTTTTAATCATAAAAATCATATATATATCCTCCTTATTTTCTCGATATTTCTCCATCAAACTCTTAATAAATGTATGACTTCCATAGTCGACCTACCGACATGAATCAAATTGATTTTGAAAACTTAGTATCACGCGCACCTATGCTCCATAACTTAGTCCCATAGTTTTAAGCATGACACATTACTTAATTCCTCTATAATTGCACAATCTTGTGCATCACCTTTATTCTTAAAAATAGGAATTAACACACTTATTCTCCACCATTGAATCTTTTTAGTATTCAAAATAGTATTAAAAGTTTAAGTGCTAAGAAATTCCTTCATCTCCTAAGCATTTCCACAACCTATTGGAATATCATCAGTCAATAGCTTTTCCATCCTCATTTTTTAAGTCCTCTCTAATCTCGGTTTTAACTAATACGTTGATAAAAACATAAATTTTTATTTTCATTTAGGGTGCTAAGGTCACTATAGTCAATCTTATTTTCATAATTTTCATTAAAAAGTTTAGCAAAATATCTCATCCACCTTTGTTGAATATCATCTTCTAATAAAAGTATTTTTTGATCTTCATCCTTAATACACTTCACTTGAACTAAATCCTTACTACTTCTATCTCTTTGTTTGGCTAACTTATACATATATCTTTCTCCCTCTCTAGTATCTAATCTATTATATAAATCACTAAAAACTAAGGTCTTTACATCGCAAATTGCTTTCTTAGATTCCTTACAAGCCTCTTTATATCTTTCTCAATTATCAGAATTTTTAAAATTAAACCAATTTTTATAACAAATCATCTTATTTTTAATCTTTTCTTGCACATTTGGATTTCACCACCAATTATTTTTACTATTATGAGCTTTTTCCTTTGATACTCCAAGCACATCTTTTGCAATATTCTTAATATCACTAGCCACTTTTTCCCACATAACATTAGCATCCTCATGCACAGATAAAATCTTAAGATCTAAAATTTTACTCTCAAAAATATTTTTGTTAATATTCTTTAAATGCACCCATTTAATCCTAGAATATCATTTTACTTTATTTTTTATTTTTTGCCTCTTTATCTTAAAGTTCAAAACTAATAATCGATGTTGGGTACATAAATTTCACTCAGAATAACTTCATAATCCTTGCAATCTAAACGATCTAATTATCTTATAAAAAATTAGTCAATCTGTGCTGTACTATATCCATTTTTATAAGTGTTTGAGATGCTCAATCCTTTTCTTAAGTAAGATATTAACAATTAAAAAATCATAAACTAAAGAAAAATCTAATATGGTCTTGCCACCTTCATTTATCGTTTCAAAATCATAGTCATCATGAATGCTTTTAAAATCATCTACCTCTCTACTAACATTTCCATTTAAATCTCCTCCAATCAAAATCTTTCTTCTAGAGATATCTTTTGTAATAATTCTTCTAAATTATTCCAAAAAATTAATTTAAAACTCATATCCAAACCTACTTGAGGAGCATAAGCACTTATAATATTAACAATCTTATCATCAACAACAATCTTTAAAGCTATAATTCTATCTCTAATCCAATTAATTTTTATAACATTATCTTTCAAACTCTTATCTATAATAACATCTTTAAAAAAAAAAAAACATCTACATCATTCCTAGTACGACTCCTATCCAAATACCACAGTTTAAATCCTAAACTATCAATTTCTTTAGCCTTTTCTCCAACCCATTTAGTTTCCTGAATGCACAAAATATTTATCTGCAGTTATGAGCCATCCTAGTAGTCAATCCATTTCTCAACCAAAACCATTCTAGGGACTCTCCTCTTGCCGCATCCAAATTTCCCAAATTATGGATGATTTGAATTAATTTTTAAATAGCATTCCCAGTACAAAACTTGAAACTCCAAATTACTGACCAAAATTGGCTCCAGTAAGTTGTAAATATTTTTTATTCATACATATCTATTTAAGGTAAAATCTAACTTAAAGTATTTTTAATTATACAGCTTCCAATGAAATAACTTGCCAAATTTTTATGTTAAATTTCTGCTAGATATTATATTTACACTTTTATTTTCTCGTAGACCATATAACCAGAAATATTATAGGGATGCAAGCTGGAAAATTGGCAGAGCCTGTTTAGAGAATAAAGGAACCACATATTTACACTAGGCAAAAATTAGTTCAAATGTTACATGGATGTTAAACGTATTCTCATATGCCTTGGAGATAGAAAATTATCATCCCATACTTCAGAACTATCGTTAAGCCTTTCCGCGTAAATATTCTGGTGATATTTAATGGAATACTAGATAAGTGCACTTGTTCTCAAAAGTAATAAACTGTTTTACACATCCTAGAAACAATAAAATCTGGAAAATAATTTACAATGAGAATCAAATTTGGAACACTAACATAACGATGTTAAATAGTTCGTATCAGCCACAACTAGAGAAAATTAATGAAAGCCCATATATCAAAAATGAAAAAAACTGAAAAATATTTAAAGGGTTCAATGGCATACCTTCTCTTTTTATTAACCAGATTCTCTTTATGCCATATGCTTGACCATAATCTTTCTGCATCTCTAAAAGATATGTCCATCCTAGAAGCTGTCATACCAAGATGAAATAGAAGAAAGATTAGATGACTCAAAGATAAATGACTAGAAAATCACACACGCAAATGCACTTTCATCATTTTTGAAGATGCGTGCCATGTTCAATGTCATTTGTAGTTGTCACCATATGAAATTGCAAGATTGAAAAGACAAATTATTATTGTAATATGCACGTACAAAAGTAGGAGAAATAATCTACCTAATTTGAAAAAGCTAATACAATAAGTTTGCATGTTGAAACTATTATCTATTAGTTTCTACACTCAACTATATTAGATTACACATAATAGATAATCAACTAATTCAATCCTATACAAGGCGCCACACAAGTAAGTTGTAGGCTCTAGGATTTAGCAAGTGAGAGAGTCTAAAACATTTTATTAATGTGAAATGATTAGCTCTACTATGCTTAGCTTATGTAATTAACTCATTACATAAAAAAAAATATACAAATGTACAAATATTAAACACAATATTTTGATGATATAAATAAACTATGCAATGTCTGAGAAATTGAAATCTAAGCATAAGTTAAAATGTTGACCCTATACAATTGCACTAAAGCAATAATCGCATTTATCACAATAATGGTTAACTAAGGGGACACTTGGTTGGCTAAAAAAGAAATACAAAGTAAAATGAAATGCAATGTAAATGGAATGCAATCTATTTGAAATATTTTGAGTATTTTGGAAGAGTGTAAATAAATGCATGTGACAGCTTTTTTGTTTAGCTTGAAGTAAATGAATGTACTGCGAAGTAAGTGAATGTAGTGTAAAGCCCCAAGATGATGTTGATCGGTGGTCGGCTGAAGGTGGCGAGCAACTATGGCCAACTGTGTTGCCAGCAACTAATGGTGATGGTTGCAAATGGTGGTTGTGATTGTGGTGGCAGTTGGTGGTGGCTGCCGGTGACTTGTGCTGGTGACAGTGGCGTCAGTTGGTGGTTGTTAGCGGTGGTAGAAAAAGGCGACAATTGGTGGTGGCTGGCAATGTCAATAGAATGCGAACACTAGTAGCAAGCAGTGATGGCCGGCGGTGGTTGCAAGCGACAACGGGAAAGGCTAGTAGCCAGGGGTTGCGAGCGACAATGATAGGTAGTTGATGTTGGCGGCAATGACAAAGAATTTAACTATGTATTTAGAAATTGAACTACAAAATACTGCACTAGTGGATGTATTTCAAATATATAAAAATTTTGCTCTGCGTTTCTTTTACTTCAGACCAAGCACTTATATTTTCAAAATCCCTGCTATTGGAATACTTTGGACCCCTTTTACTTCAAACCAAACCACTCCTAAACTAAAAAATAGCATTAAATTTTAAAATAATCTCCTGACTATTTGTATGAAACCATTTTAGTCTAAGAGTAAAATATTGCTCCAATTTAGCTCCTCGACTATACAAAATTGATCCATAATGGTCCCTGAATTGGGATCAATTGTGTAAAGTCAAGGGAATAAATTAGGATCAATTTTATATCACAATCACAATATGAGGTAATATTTTGAATTGATTTTGTATAATCGAGGGACTAAATTGAGGCAACATGATACACTAGAACTAAATTAACCATACACGAATAGTCTAGAAACTATTTTGGGATTTTTTAAAAAAAAAAAATATTCAAGAAAAGAAATAAAAAAATTTAAGCCATAGAGCAATGAGGAAGGACATCATGATCTTTATGTGGTTCGGTCAACCTCAAAGCCTATGGAGACCTAGATAATACCTAGAATAGGATTTTCACTATCCCAAATTTGCCTAAGTCCAACCCGATCTTTAATATAAGAGATAACTTCCTAAATAAAAGTTCTATCAAACTTCGAAGGTGAACTCTGAAAATTTCACCTTCCAATCTCTTACTCTCATAATCTCAAATAAAAGATATCAAAAGTAAAATGAAAACCTCAAAATACAAATACAAAACTAAGTTACAAATCAAGATAATCTTAATACAAACAACACTATAATATTAAGTTTGAGATACTACAAGAACTAAATACTCAAAAGATGATTTGATGGACACAAGAAAGCACCTGCTGAAAGCCTTGAAATTGATTAAACGCGTAAGCATGAAAACGCATTCCTAAAAAATCTTATAGAGATCTCAGATTTTGGCATTTATGCATTCAGGCGTTACCTATTTTCCCTCAAATACTTGGATTATTTATAAAATAAATAAAATTCCATTTTTGGAACCAATATAGTTGGAAATATTGAAGCAATCAAGTTTACACATTTGGAAAGCTTACAACATCACAAGAATAATCGTTGGACCCATATTTCATTTAACGAGTCCTGATGATCCCAAAATAGGTTGCCACTTTTGCAGTTGTGAAAAAATTGCATTCGAGAGCATATTTGGTAAGCACAGGTTGCACAAACTAACGCAAATGGAAAGTCATGGGTGCACTTTGCATGTGCAAGTAAAACAGACAGGTGCGTAGAGGGCTTTGTGCAGCTGGTTTGTGCGGGCACTGAGATGGATGACTTCACACTCAACAAAGCGAGTGTGTTTGTATGCATGAGCACATGGCCATGAGCACATGCACATAAATGGTCAAAATCAATTGCTTCACTGCAACTCAACAAGCTGAAAAACAACCATGACAATCTCAGCTACTATCATAGCCAACAAATTGCTTCACTCAACACTAACCAAAACAAATCAATAGGAACAATTAAGAAAAACTTACCACATCAATAATTAATATACTAGGTGTCCAATGAAAACCTAAAATGATAGACGTGATTGTGTTTAGCACTATACAAAATCATTGCAATCATTACAGTAGATAAAATGCATGTTAAAGACTTAAACACAGTTAAAGTCAAAAAAAAAAAAGAAATCACAAGTAATGTGCTCGTAGCATAACCAAATCAGGGATAAATAAGTATGCACTCTCTTTACAAAATAGTATTGCAATTACACAATTTTTATGACTCCTAAAATAAATTCAAGTACAAACTTCAACCACAATTAATTCAAAGTCTGTAAGAGCCATCTCCAACGAGATCACTAAATAATTGGACAATCAAAAACCTATATGATGTAATACATGAAAGTGGTACAATCACTAAGGCAAGGGCAAAAGTACATGAGTTCAAGATATGAAAGATTCGTGAGCACTAATCACGAGAATCTACATCTTTTTTATATTTTATGAGTTTAACCTTCTGTATTTATGTAATTTCATATTTTTTTGGTGTTGTAAGTGCTATGTAGACTTCATATTATTGTATTTTGATTCGTTAGTAGTCATTTTATTAAGTCTAAGTCATTCTAAAGTAGTAAGGCTCGACCATGCTAGAGTATGAGTGTGCATCGAGAGAGTATAGGTAGTTTCCAAGTGGGTCCAAGCATGGAGCAAGAGGGGGGCGACCCCTCCTCTCTCTCCCCTTTACCTCTCAATTTAAGTTTGAATAAAGAGGTGTGTCTTTTCATTAGAATTCAGATGTATAAGTACTCCTTTGGACTGAAATGAATGATCACTACTATACTTAACAAGTTTTGGACTGAATTTTAAATAGGCTAGAGAGTTTGGTGTGGGTCTGTCAAATCGTGCCCACGGTTCGAGTTCGGTTCCAACGCGACTTTGACCCGCCAGTTTTTTAACTGACCCGAACCCAACCCGGTTTTGGATTCGGGTCACTTTTGCGAACCCGACCTCAACTTGGTTCGGGTTTGAGTCAACCCGACACGACCCGAAATATAGCACGTTAATTAAATTAATACTGCATCAAAATCATTTGGCGCGTGGTAATAGGTAAATTTTATTTAAAAACTATACATTTTTACATAATATATAATATAATACATTATAATTAAACTCAAATTACAAAACTTATAAGTTACAAGTTACAAGCTTAAATTACAAACTAAACAATCTAAAATTATAAACTAGTCAAATTACAACTTACAAGCTCCAATTACAAACTCAAATTACAACTTACAAGCTCAAACTCCTACACTTCAGATTGAATTACAATTCTATAGGAAACCATAACCAAATTCCTAACATTTGTCTGTTTTGAATAAAACTGATATATATCTTTTCCAAAGTACATTTGAACCACATAAACCTCTCCAATCCTTAACCAAAATTTTCAAAAATAAATTAGACAACATTCCCTTCAAATCAAGCCCAAGTTTGTTAGATTTGGATACTTGTAGAGGGAGAATTAATTGGTAGACATCTCTAGACAAATTAAAAAGCTTGCAACCTATCTCCCACATTTCAAAGCAATTAATCTCTAAAAATTGATCTTAACTCTTCTAATTCTATTTAGAAGAGCCACCCACATCCATCAATTGTTCACATCAGTGATCTAAAGCCCTCATCCATCCAACTATCCCTCATTGCCATTTAAACCATTTTAAAGAGTGATTTTAATGAGGTCATTGAGACAGTGTTATTAAGAAGAATTGATTTATTTAAATTACAACCATAAAATATTTTTATAAATGGTGATACTTTAATCATAATCATATCAAGCATGAGAATTTTGCCATATGGATGTGCATGTTGTATGGTTAACGTATTGTATGAGGTGGTGACTGAAACAATTTTTGTGGAGGAGTTTACCTTACCCTTGTAGGTGGGTTAAATGGCCAAAGCTTGAAACTTTTTAGCCTTGAATTGAAATATAAAGTGTTCAATCTAACAAAATGTATGACATCATTATCAAATAAGAGTCTTCTTGAAATGACATGGTCTATCTTTATTTGAAATACATCACACCATATATTATCCACAGAATCACCTATCTTAATTGGTACTAAATATCTAAATGTGATGGGTAAATTAGTGACATTTAACCAACTCATCATGTATGAATCTGGATGGGGTTTTGTTTTAAGCTTAGCTCTTGAAAGTGTGTGAGTAGAAATTACATTCATGGCACTACCCCCGTCAATTACTAATTTGCAAAACTTATTCCTATATTTAAAAATTGTAGTAAAAATATTCCTCCTTTGGCTATCTTCTTTATCTCTAGATGTGGACAAACATGTCATCTCACCTAAAAGATCTCCTATATGCTCAACTTCCTTATTACATAAAGGAGTATCATCATGAATTTCCTCGACCTCATCAGCCACTCACTCTTCATCTAATTCTTCTTTAACCTCATCTAAGAACATAGTTTTGACCTTACACGGATGTTGCATATGGCCTTTCTTGTGACACTTGAAGTATATTAAGTTCTTAGTCTTAGAGGACGATTCATGTGTACTCTTTTTAGGCTAGAAACTAGATGAAATGAGTGTAGATCTAACGGTAGACCTCTGTGTAGAATATGAAGATGATTGAAGGGAAGAATTGGACCTCTAGTTCTAGATGAAGTTGTCTTTGTTATGTTGCTCTAGGAGTAAAGCATAATAAAAATCATCTTCTGAAGTATGAGGGTCCTGTAAGTTGACCTCATATATGATCTCACCAAAAGTGAGTTTGTTGGCTAGTTAACACCCTTTATCTGTGCAATTAGTCCTAGCAATTAAATCTCAAATAAGTTCATGTATTCAACCACTTGCATATTACCTGTCTAACAGTCATCAATTGTTCTTATAATTTCTTGTCATGATTTATAGGATTGTACTTAGCCCTTAACATCTCTTCTATCTCAACCCAAATAAGTTGGTATCTCTATAACCTTTCATCCTTCACTAAGACACTGGTCCAATAAATTTTGGCATGGCCTATAACCTTCATCTTAGCATAAGTAATTCTTTGGTAGTCATCCATTTAATATCAATCAAAGAACTCTGTTCGCTTAGGAAATGTAAATGTTGCGCTACGGCACGAATCCCGCTTTCGTAAGCTTAAGGTCCCATTTTCTCTGAGGTAGAATAAATTTTAAATTAATTAGATTTCCCCCAATGAACGGCATCAGGGTTTATTTAGTTCTGAGATTCAACTTCCTATAAGGACAACCATCGTAGTTAATTACTCCTCCTACGCGTAGAAGAGAACTATCGATTATTGATGAATTAATATTTAGACGTGCAACATTTTTAAATTTTTCTTGTGGGGGATGAAAGTAGACTCAATCAAGATCTCATGGTTCCATGAGTTCCACTATCCCGGTAATACCGTAGGTTTGAGTCTACCAACACTAACAACCGTTAATTGTAGTATCCAGATAATCTAATTAGCAGCCACGGATTGCATCCTCTCAGGGATCCCGAGTAAACTAAAGAGGATAGAAGTAGGTTATTTGGTTTGGGTTGGGACTTGCGGCTCTGCTTAGAAGTTGCCCATAGTTTAGATTTAGATTAGGTCTTGCGGATCCATTTAGGAGTTGTTCATATGTTTGAGAAGTTGGGCCTTAATGCTTTCACTGAAAGTAGCCCGTATTTCGGGTCTTACGGCCTCTTTTAGAAGTAGCCCATGTATTTGAGAAGTTGGGTTTTACTATTTTCATTGAAAATAGCCCATGTAGCGGGTCTTACGACTTCGTTTAGAAGTATCCCGTTGGTTGGGTCTTACAACCTAGTCATATAAGCAAGGTTGTCCGTGAGTTTGAGAGGTTTAGAATTGTTTACTTAGAAGATTCCCTAACATGCGGATCTTACGACTTTGCTTAGAAGTGGCCCGAATAGTGAGTCTTGCATCCTCTATTAGAGGTAGCCCAAGTTTGGATTTGTAGCTCCCCTTGGGAGATTGTGTGTACTAATTTAGCTGGTATTTACCCTATTTTAGCTAGTAGTTGCTTATTAGGCTGGCTTTAGAATAGTTGCACACCCTACCACCCAACGCTAATATTTTCGACCCTAGTTTTCAGTAGTGCACAATAGTTTTACTCGTACTTTCTTACTCCAGTAGCATGTCTTTTATTTTAGTAGTGTTGTTTGTTCAGTACCCGCTCTTCTACTTTCAATACCAGTTCTACTTTAGTACCTACTTATTTTACCAGTACCAAATTTATTCTGACTAGTACTAGTTTTGTTTTACAATTACCAATTCATTTTTTTTAAATACCCGCCTATTTTACCAGTACTTATTTTGTTTTACCAGTACCAGTTCTACCAACACTAGTTTTGTTTTATCAAGACTAGTTCGCTTTAGTACACCGTACATATGAATTTAACTAAATTTAATATCCATCAAATCCAACAATTCTACCAGAATTTATCAAATTCAAATTTACGAAATTTACCAAATCCTTCATTTAAAATCCTACTTACAGCCAAACAGCACCTAGCTGTTTGGTATCGGATTTACAGCGGGATTTAAGCTAAGGGGCTGTTTGGTTGCCTGAAAAAGAAATGCGGTGTAAAATAAATGCAATGTAAAGTAAATGTAATGAATTTGAAATACTTTGAGCTTGTTTGATCGTCTGCAAAATAAACGCAGGAGAATTGTTTCCCTTGTTTGATTAGGTATATCCAAAGTAAAGTAAAAGCATTTTTTTAAATAATTTATTTTGGCATTAAAATAAATATATTTATAAAAGCAGTGTATTTTTAATAATTAATATTATTTTATTTTTTTAAAAATTATTTAATTCAATTTATTTAAACCTAAATCCAATTAAGGTAAAATTTACTTCAATCAATTATGCTATCTCAGTATATCTGACATCCTCCAATCAAAAAAGATCTTGCGAAGCCCTTGCAACGCTAAATCTAGCCCTTCTAGACCACAACCGTTAAACAGCTATGAGTTGATTCAATGTGCCTGAAGAAACATCATGTTGAAGTATGTCCGGATTGCTGTATAAGATCCCAAGAAGATCATTAATGGAGGCTTTGGTGGAATCATGTGGACATAAATACAAATACTTGGTCAATGCTTCCAAAGCTCCAGCTTCAGCCATAACCAATTTGTTGGCATCATTTGCTTCTGCTATCTGTGTAAGAAGATGAACAACAATTGGAGCAGCTCTTGTTCTTTTAGGCATTGTTCTAAGAAGGTCCACCAACAGGGGTATTGACTTGCGAGCAATGCCACCAATCCTAATATCTTCTACCTCAAACAAATGCTGGAGTGCAATGTTGTAAGTTTTTCTCACCAGATTACACTCTTCAGACAAAGAAACAAGGTTTGGCGATTCTAATTCTACATGACCAACTAAGCTGATTAGTCCTCCAATAAAACCTGTATTTGCAATAGCAAGATGAATTGCTTCTTCGCTGGTACAAACAAGACTACAAATTGCTTGAGCATCAAAATATTTTGCATTAATTGAATCTGACATCAGCAACCAAGATAGTGAAGGTATTATTCTGTTGGTTGCTGCTGACCGAATAACCTTTTCCTCTTGAAATAAAATAGCTAAAAGTAGGGCACAGATCCATACACCCTCTGTATCATCAAACTCGCCCTGTATATAGAAATTTCAAATCGAGAAATAGGCCAAATATAGCTCAAGATATCAACTAAAATAAATAGTCATTTTAACATAAATTTAATAAATAAGTGATAAACAGAAATGCTTCAAAATAAAATATAATATAATATTATGATTAATTTCACACTCACATTCTTAAACAATTTCACAGGTATAATTGTAAGCACGTAAAGCTTGGAGCCCAGTTGTAAATGGATGGCTATAAAATTTCTAGATCATGTAAGCACACTCAAAGTCTGCTTGGCTGGATTCATATATGCAGCACACGTTTCATAATGTTCAGGTAATAGATGGAAGTTGTATTAGAGTTGATCTAGAACATCCATGATCAACTACAAGCCTTGAATCTTTAATTTTAAACAAGCTACCTTT